CCACTACCCAAGGCATCGGGACCATACGTGGAGAGATAAGTAAAACCTGATAGATCATTTGATAAGATCATTTGGGAGTCAAGAATGCATGACATGGTCTTGGGATACTGATGTAATTGTGCAAGAATGAATGTTACCTTTTCTGATGAAGGGTCTAGGCCCGAAACGTCAGCCTCTCTGCTCCTATGATGCTGCTTGGCCTGCTGTGTTCATCCAGCCCTGCACCTTGTTGATCAATAAATCAATTCTCTTAATAGGAAAGACAAGGACACAAACATCACCAAGAGAAAGCTATTAGTTTTGTGCTCTCATGTGTACTTCCTTTGCACTGCTGTAACATTTTAACCTGAATTGCTGCTTTAACACATTATTCTAAGTTTTTTTTTGTCTTCTGCCACCAGGCTCCGCCCTTAATTATTTTGTCTTATCCAATTTTGCAACTGAACTATAACCACCATATCTAATTCCAGAGATCTGCAGAGATTTGTAGTCCCTGGAATATAATCTTATAACATTTTAGAACTAAAGTCAAACATTTCTGTTTGATTCAGGCACAACATACTTTGTTTGTTCTTCTTCTAAGGTGACCCAAATTTTTTTTTAAACTTGATAACTCATTCTAGATATTTGACATATCTCTATGTAAATTTGTTGAAATTCAATATTCTGTTTACTCCCTTGAAGTCACTAATCATTTTTATGCATTGAAACCATTGAGACATGCGCATGCACTTTATCATTTCCCAGAATTCCTTTAAAATTTCAGGAAACTATTCCAGTTAAATGTTTCAGAATACCAGGGCATATGAGTCTTAATATAGTTATTGCCGTGAAATGCTTAAGTGTACCCAGGCTCAGTAGTTTCAAGATTCCTGACATTCACTACAATTAATATTTCCACAGTACTTCCCCAACACTGAAAAAGTGTCATTGATGAATGGCTTGATGGGTTGAGGGTGCCTCATTCATCACTGTGTTGCGACGTTGAAATTCTGCAAACGGGTTCAGCATTCAGTAACTCCAAATTCTAAAGAAACAAACAAGCTCCATCATTCCACGTCAAGCAGAATGAGTTAATTAATATTAACTTACTACGGATTCAAAAAAGGAGGTGGGGTATAAGCTCCTGCATGTAATTATATCACCCATCTCTCCTCCTTGAAGGAAGGAAAAGCCCACCCCTTCGTTGAATTTGCCTTTCCGAAACTCCTCGCCCACAGGGAGTTGGATTTTCAACATTCCAATGTCCTTATCACTTGTATATTAACAATGATTCAATCTTATCATCTGGAATTAAAGATTCACTCATGTTAAATCAGTATTTGGAAATTCATTCCAGCCAGAAATTGAAATTCCAAACGTGGTAATTTCTAGGATTAGAATCTACCCAAGTCCAAACACAACATGGAGCCAATTCCAAAAGGTAAATTTTTACCAAGCTTTACAAGCCAAATTTTTGAATCAATATTTCGCAAATTTTTGCTTTACACAACCACTGATGGTTGCTTAAAAGGACATTACACTAACTATTCATGTTCCACACTGATACGAGCACACAACACACTTTCAAATCATGATACATTCCCAAAATGCAAACTAAAACTTCAAAGTATCCCCAGATCTCAAGCTCCAGGGAACAACAACACACAAGATTGTACAGAACGACATTTTGCAACCAACAAACAAAGGTACATTCAATCCAGACCACGAAGAGTTAACCATTCTACAAGGTTCAGTGCACTAGCACAGAACAGCAACCTGATCTCCAGTTACCTCATTTTCCAGTTATAATTATCCCCCATTCTTTTTGGGGGTCCTAATTATGCTAACAAATTAGCTACAGACCCGAATCCAGAGTCTGCTGCATTCCACTCTGGAATATGGAAGTTCTCCGGAGCATCAGGATGTTACCCAGCGTGGTAACGAAACGTCTGCGAAACAAGAAACCAGCTCGGCAAGCAAACCAACCTCAACACCCACAACCTGAGCTACAAATCTACTCCAAAACCTTCGAGGTTACTTTTCCTTCCTCCTACACATTTTCCCAAATTGCATCTTCATCGCAAAAAATGTCTTGGATCACAAGGAGTATCCAAGTGGTTCTTTTCTAATTTGGTTAAATGTAGTTAAGAGAAGGCTCAACAACAGCAATTTGCTTAAATATGAGCATTTATTGAGTAGTAATAAAAGATGAAAAAAGAAAGGAACATTTATTAAGTAAATAAAAAGGATGAAAAAGAGAGGAAATAAAATCAGGCAGCTTCACGCCCTTATGCACGTCCGGGACCCCTCGATCAGTGGCTGGCCTGGAGGCTGAGGTTGTTCCTGGCACCTTTTGTGATCCCAGTCTGAGGTGAGGTCCAGCGACTTGGATCAAAATACTGTCTCTTATACAGTGCGACAAATAGCCAGGCACAGACAACACACTGATTGTGCTGGTTTCAGCACGTACAGGAATGTTCACAGGACTCAATCAAGCTTGCAGCTGTCAAATATCATCAACAGGTTTAGCCCTTCAGCCCATCTTGTACAATTCCATGTGGGACCTTGTCAAAGGCCTTACTGAAGTCCATGTAAACCACATCAACAGCACGATCCTCATCAATATATTCAGTCACCTTCTCATAAAACTCAATTAAATTTAGAGATGTTGCAGAGGGGATTTACGAGGATGCTCACTGGAATGGAGGGCAGGTCTTACGAGGAAAGGTTAAAGGAGCTAGGGATTTTTTCATTGGAGCGAAGAAGGATGAGAGGTGACTTGATAGAGGTGTACAAGATGATGAGAGACAGAGATAGAGTGAATACGCAGAGACTTTTTCCCAGGGTCGAAATGACTATTACGAGGGGGTATAATTTTAAGGTGATTGGAGGAAGGTATAGGGGAGATGTCAGAGATAAGTTCTTTACACAGAGAGTGGTGGGCGTGTGGAATGCGCTGCCAGCAGTGGAAGTGGAATCAGATACTTCAGAGACTTTTAAGCGACTCTTGGATAGGCACATGGAGGATAGTAAAATGTAGGGTATGCAGGGTAGTTTGATCTTAGCAGGATAATATGTAGGCACAACATCATGGGCCAAAGGGCCTGTACAAAGAACAAAGAACAACGAACAAAGAAAATTACAGCACAGGAACAGGCCCTTTGGCCCTCCAAACCTGCACTGATCCAGATCCTCTATCTAAACCTGTCGCCTATTTTCCAAGGATCTGTATCCCTTTGCT